TTGTCTGTACTCCGCTTTGGGGTTTTTAGGTCAGTCAAATGCCCTATTGCTTCTTCCTCCATAGATGCTGATATCTTGTGGGTCTTGTAGCTTGTATTTGGGGTGTCTTAAGAATACCATGCTAGCTAGTTTTTTCTATGTGTTGTTCATAGGTCTTTGGGTTTGCTGTCTTAGTTTCTCTGTTTTTATGGGGATATTTGGAGCATTTTTAAAAGGTGCCACCACTGCTGCTGTCTTCCAAGAACCCCAACATAATTTTTAATGGCTGCAGAGTTTTACATTATATGAATATGCCATGATTTATGTAATTATTCCTTTATTGGACAAGTTGTTTTCCATTTTACTTATATAAACAGGGCTGAGGTGAACATTTTTGTGAAGTAATCTTTGCATGTACTCATGCTTATTCCTTAAGATTAATTTTTAGAAGGTATTTTTGTGAGTCAAAGGGTAGTCCACTTTTTATGGCTTTTAATGTCAATTGCCAAATCACTTTCCAAAAATGGTCATACCAATTTATAGTCCCCCGTAATGTAGTTCTTTTTTAATCATTCTTTTAAGTCAGTAAGTTAGGCAAGTGTTTATTTAGCTTGCTGGCTTTTAACCACAAAGAATACAATCATCTCAGCTCTTCAGAACTTGGCCAACTAACAACCGCACTGATGTAGTGCCTAACTAAGACCAAGGAGATTAATAAAACAAGCTTTTGAGCTGCCCAAAATAGTTGTCACAAAGCCATAGATTACTGCAAATACCATAATCATAGCAGACTCACTTCAAGCTCATACTCAGAAATGGTTTTCACTTATTTTAATTACTTTGATTCCCAAATCAGACTGAAAGAGGATACAGTATCTCTTATATAGTTTTATATAGTGACACCTGTGAGATGGTAGTGGCAAAGAAAAAGGAGAAATCAAAGATGACTTGATTTGTAGACCTTGCTTGTCTTTTCTAAAAGTAATAAACTAGAAGTCAAATTCAAGCAATATAGATATTTTCTCTGTCTCATGATTGACAATAACTCTTATTATTGTTCAAGTCGTAGTTTCAGACACATTGTCACTAAACCAATTGGCCAATTTATGTGCAGTTTATGCTTTGTTATAACTTTTTTTAATCTAAGTTTATGTAGAAATCAAGATGGAATATCTGTTGGATATTTTATTTATTACATATATATTTTAAGTTTTTAGTATTCAAATAGTACACGATTGTTAGAAAAATTAGAAGTTACAACTAACTCAAAAACAAGAGAGAATAAAAATCCTTAATAATTCTACCATATAGAGATAAGTGCTATCATTCTTGATATTTTTCTGTATGTGTGTATTTTAATCAAAATAGGATCATTTTTGTACCTACTATTTTCTTATCTACTTTAAAAACATAATGCATGAAAAAAGCCTTTTCAAGTTAATAAACATACTTCTAACCTTCATTATAATGCCTAGTAACCTAGGCTGGGAGCCTTGAGGCCATCTTTGATGAGTTCATCTCCCTCATCTGTTACATCCAGCTGGGTGTCAACCCAGGGACTATCATGAATCCATCTGTCCCTTTCTGATCTCACTGTATTTATTCTATCTCAGCCATCTTCATTTCTAACCTAGACCATTGCAGTCATTTCCTACATAATTAACAACCTGTAATTTTTATGAACTCTGTTTATTTTATTGCTGTTTGATTGCTGCTGTTAAAACTTATCATGATATTTAGAGCCCTCTGCTAGCCTCTTTTTAACCTTATTACCTGCTTAGTTTCCTTTTTTCCTCCCTTCCTTCCTCTCTCTCTCCCTTTCTCCCACTGTCTCTCTTTCTCTCTCTCTGTCTCATTCTTTCCTCCTTCCTTCCTTCTCTCTCTCTTATACTTTTTCCGCTCCCTCCCTGAAATATTTGTACTTCTTTGTATATTAGTGATATTGCTCATTCTTGCCCAAACATGCCCTGCATTTTCATTGCTATTCCCTCATCTTGACTTTGCCTTTTAAAATTTCATTTAACCATCAACCCTAGACCAAATGCCATTTTCCTTTGAAGTCTTCCTCAATTTGAATTAATACCTTTTCTGCCCTTCCATTGCATTTTTCATATACTTCATTTATATTCTCCTTTGTTATACCATGCCTGTCTTTCTCCTGCATGGATTTCTCTTCTTTCTTTTTTATATATTTTAAAATGTCATGTTTTATTTAGAGTCACAAATCATTTCATTAACACTTTACTCAATAACCACTACTAAGTAGTCTTTAAAGAACGTCAAGACATTAAGCTTTCTCTTGTTTTAAAGAAAATACCAAGTACTGTTACAACAAACTCATAAATAAAATGTTAATTTCTAATGGAATTTTTAGTAGTTTAATTCTAAGCAGTCTCTTTCTTATGATTTTGTCCCTTTTAGGCTGGATCAGTGCATGTAAGAATTCGACGAGATGCAAATGAACAAATGGTTCTTGCTCATGTGACCAACAGGCTGTACACTCTAGTGTCTACTCTGACTGTTCAAATTTTTAAGGATGATTGGATTAGGCCTGCCTTATTGTCTGGGCCTGTTGCAGCCAATGTCCTAAATTTTTCAGATCATCACATAGTCCCAATGCCTCCTTTAAAGGGTACTGATGAGTTAAACCCTGTCACATCGACTCCTACTAAACCTAGTAGTCCACCTCCAGAATTTTCATTTAACACCCCTGGAAAAAATGTGACCCCAGTTATTCTAAACACACAAACGAGACCTTATGGATTGGGTCTTAATCATGGACACGTACCTTATAGCAGCATGCTTACTCAAGGACTTGGAGTTCCAGGGTTGGGAGTAACCCCAGGATTCAGGACTGGTTTTACAAATCTACCAAGTAGATATGGAACTAACAATAGAATTGGACAACCAAGACCATGATGTACTGTAACTTAATTTATTTGTATGGGGAATATTTGCTCCTTGACTTTCAATTTATTTAGTAATCCAACAATGTTAGAAAATAGGCTAGTTCACATGACATGAAACCAATGAAACTATATTTTCGTAAAATGTATTTAGGACATTGAGAACCTTATAAATGTTATAGGCTTCCTTTAGAAAGCATGTTTCTCTAAATTTGAATTTTGCTATCTTTGATTTTGTAGCTGACTACAGTGTGATATGAGATAATCTTTACAAGAGAACCACTTGATGGAGTAAATCTATCACAGTATGTAAAATATAATATTTTCTTCAGTGAAATTTATAAATCTGCTTCTTGGATAATGATACATATTTTAGGAAAGGAAAAAATATCCATTCTAAAAATAAAAGCCTCTTTTATAGCTTTTTCTAAACTTAATTGCTACATTTTTCTTTGAGGGCCTCCTGAATTATGTCTTGCAAAATAAAAGGGAAAATTTTTATCAGAAATTTTAGAACATATTCTACCTACCGTAATTAAAAAATTTTAGTTATCAGTTTTTTAATAATTTTTCTTATTTAAAAATGTCAGTACATTTGTAAATTATCCATGGTTCTCAGAGTGTTTTCTTCTGGTGAAATGAATACCAAATCCTTTGGTGATGTGCAATAAAGGTATACCGGTTTTCTCTCACATTTAATCAAATACTGACATAATGATGGAATTTATCAAAGTGACAAAAAAGCCACTTTTTCACTTGTTGACTTTTAATTTTTCATTTTATTAACAAAATATATCAAATATATTACCAAAGTATATGGAATTCCATACATAATATAGGATTTGATATCTTTTCAAAGTTACATAATCAATTTGAGTTTACATTATATAATTTTGCCAAAACATAATGGACCTTAGATTATAAAGTACAGTATTTTTAGATCTGCTACAGGCAGTTTCTAACTCTGTTTTGCTTTGTCAAACATAGTGAATTGTTAACTGTGATTATGAGAATTATATAGATTATTTTATTTTTTTATTATTTTCCAAATGCAAATGTTAAGCACTTGCCAACATGGCCAGTATTACTTATAAAAAGTATGATAAGTAGTAGTCACAAATTACCTATGAAGTTCTTTTCATTTTATCATGAGTTTTATGATTAGAGTTTTAAAAAGGTGTTTTGAGAGTGGATTCAACTTTTTTGGAATGCAGTACTCCTGGAGATTTTTGAGTTTTTCTAGCCATCAGCCAGTTATCTAGAGAAGATTTTTATATTTGTAGGATTTGCAACACTTCCAAATCCTATTTCTTCACAGTGGAATAACAAACATCTAAGAAGCCATCTCTATCAAAGAGAATCGTAGTTATCCTGTGATAATAAGTGACCATGTCCCAAATAACTTTTGCTTGGTGAGGAGTTGGTCATTGTCTTGACATCTGCAACCCTGTTCAGGCATTTGAGCTGCTGAAGAAATAGAGCCCACACTACCTTGACTGCTGGGGAAAATGAAACTTTGTAAAATGTTATAAGGCAACCTGTTCCTTTCCTTTGTCTTATGTTCTCCAGTATTTCTATACCTAGTGTTTGTTACGGGTTATTTTTCCTCCATTGACCTCATCTAATGTGAATTTGGGTCATGCATGAAATCTGAAGAACTGTCAGGTACTGAGTGACAATTAGGAAGTATGTGCTAACACCGTATGCATGTCTTCTCCATCCTCATGGGATTTTTAAAGGGTCTAGGTACTAAACACAGTTCTGCGTGAGGTTGAGTGCCTACTTCCTCAACACCCATTCACAAGCAGCACCCATGCAGTTGTCCCACCAAAGGTGCTTTGATACCCACCTACACTGTTGGACAAGTTGCCTGTGGATTCTGAAGGAATTGGCTCTACATGCTGAAATTCTGTAATGCCAACTGCTACAGGTGACTTTGGTCTATGCATTACATAGAAAAGTCTCGTTAGCCAAGCTCTGGCCAGCTTCTGGATATGAAAACAAATTTGACCAGCATAGGCCTATAGGCAATAGCCTTAGTATATCTTGCCACGGAGTCTCTTGAAACTAGACAGAAAAGGAAGTTCAAATTAACTACTTGGCCTATGGCTTGTGATTAAGAGCCAGCTTTATGGAGTGTGATTAACCCTGTTTGAGAAATCGCTGTGTTATAATGGAAAAACACTGGACTGGAAGACGAGATTTGCATTCCAATCCTGATGCTGCCACTATGTAAGTAGTTCTGTAACCATGGGTAAGCCATTTAACTTCCCTGAGGTTTCTCATCTGTAAAGTTAGGGTCGGGAATGAATTAGGTGATTTGTAAACTATCAGCTCTAAAATTTTAGGACTAAATCTGTGTAATATATGCCCACTTGCTACACAGAATACTGTGCCCAGAATTTCTTTCCAGTGACTACCTCAGTATACGGGCCATGTGTTACCTACATCAACACCCAAGTCATTAATTTGAGGTGCCATGAGAATCGAAGGTGAACTGCAGGCTAACCATTTAGGATTTTGTTTATATCAGACTTGAAACAGATTTTTCTTAGACTTCTTTCTTTGTGGGGAAGGATCGTTTGGGGGATGTTGGAGAAAAAGATTAGGACAGCTTCCATAGGATGCAAAAGAATGGGGTACATTTTTATTTCTTCCTTAATCTCTAAAGTCACAGTTGTAATTACATACATGTATCATCAACTGTAGAGGACCTGAATTTCAAGCCTCTGATTTAGCTGCTCATAAAACTGCCAATTTTTTGCTTGACTAAAGGATGCCGATCTTTCTGGGGAATCTGGTCTGCTTATATAAGAAAATGCTTTTTACATTCCAAATTGTTTGAATTAAACTGTTTGAATAAAGAACATACATGGAGTTTTCTCTCTAATTTCAAGTAATTTTGGCTTGTTTCTTTATTCAGTAGCTATTTATTGGTAATTAAATTGTATCATTCAGGAAATATTTGTTGAAAGTCTAGTACATGCTAGACACTGTACTAAGTAAATGTGCATACAATATATAAATTTTTGTGACCTCCTATTCTTGAGACCAAAGAGAACACAAGGTGAACAAGACAGAGTCCCCTTCAAGTAGCTGATAATCCTAATAGGAGTGATGACACATAGAACTATTGCACATGTCATCAATAAACTCCCTCACTTCCTCATCTTTGGCCTTATTTCCCTGGCATCTTTCTCTTTTCCTGAATGATGAAACTAAGAAAGTAGATTTCCATGGAAGAGGCCAGGTAAGGAGGTAATGGTGTCACACATCATTCTGATATCAGTAAAGAAGAGAGTTTAGAAGGGCAAGTTAGGCAGACACTATTTGACAAGGATAATTTTTAGGTGTATAATAGATTGCCATATACTTTCAGACTCCTGGACAATATGAGCAGAGATTTTTAAATCACCAGGCTGAAAGAAATGCAATCCCCAGAGCATTCATGGGCTCAGGGTGTCCTTTATTTAATCAGTTACTAGTGTAAAAGCACCTTTAATAACACTCACATCATCATCATCCAATTGCCACCCAACAAGCCTAGCTTCTTGCAAAAAAGTTAACTTCGATAACACATGGCTAAGTTTCCTGACTAATGCTGCATCAGGTAAAAATCTTTCCGTACTGAAGTCAAAAAACACTAATTGCTTAAGATTCTCAAGTATACCCATGAAGGTAAGCCATCCATCACTGCTCACACAGTTTCCTGCCAAATCCAGCTGCTGGAAGTTTTGCAGAGGGTTCTTTTCAAAAAATGCACCTGGAAAAAAGATAGAAATTAGTGTGTTAGTTGGAAGCAAAACAATTTTTTAAAGAAAAATGGCCATGTTTGGACCAGCGCTTTGCTTTAGAAATTCTCTATAGATAGGGCAGTGTTTATGAATCTGGTCCATTATATTTACAAATTATAGTTTTCCTAAAGTGTAAGGGAATCTGATAGATAGTAATTAGTATTTAATTAATGTAATTATAATTGATTGAATTTATAATAAATAGTAAAATATTTTTAAAAAACATAAATAGAATTGATTTAATTAGCATAATTTATATTAGCAAACCAATATAAATGAATTACATATTTTTTCCCTTTTCTTGACTCTTCCAGGAAATGGGAGATGGCTTAAAAACTGAGGTGTGAGAGGTGCTATCAAATATTCATTACCTGTTTTCAAAACTGGAGTCAAACTTTGGCAATCTTAGGTCATATTTTTCTGAGAAGCAAACACTACCTATTGTTTCTTGGGTTTGGAATGTTCCTAACTAAACGAGTAAGTGAGACTCCGGGATCTCAAGATTTGGGTTTGGGGTTTGTCTGTTTTTTTTAACCTCCCTAGACTCGGTGAACTTCCTCCATTCCTTACAGACCAGGGCACTCTAAAGTACCTCCTACAAAGAGAAGGTGGATGTCTTAGCCATGACCATGAAGTCAAAGATAATACGCTAAGGAATAGAGAAGTATAAAAAGAAGGTTTCTGGGTCTGAAAGATTGCACAGAGCAAAGCCACCCCACCTGCGTGGACTGCTCTCTTCTGGACTGTTAGAGAAATCCAGTTCTATCTTCTATAGTTGGGTTTCTTGTTATACAAGCTTAGCCTGTGCCTAGCCTAACTCATACATAGGGCCTCCGTTTCTCCTCTCTTCTTCCTGGAAGGAGCCCGGTAGGTAGCATCCTCCCTGCTCTCCCGTATACCTAATGTTCATGTCCTTTCTGCCTCCGCCTCTTTTTCATGTATTTCCCAGCATGGCATGCACTCAGTCAAAATACTGGTCATCAGTGTATATATAAGACTCCTTCCCCAAAGAGCAATTTCTTTTCTCCTCGACTAGCAGAACAGATTTCACCACCTAAAAGGTACTTAACAAAAGACTTTAAAGCCTATTCCACACTCAGAGGGTGAGCTAATTATACAGGTTATCTGCTAAGGTTTAAGAATATCAATAAGAGAGCTTCGTGGGTAATTATTAGAATGCATGCAAGCACAGGAACCAAGAACAACACAATCCAAGGGCATGCATTTTGTTCATTTAATCTGCAGCATTTCTGTTACCATGATGAGCAGACTGGTTCTGAGGAAACGGAATCTGACGTTTAGAGCTGTGGGCTGGGGACAGTGTAAACGGTTTACCCATATTCCAGGCAGAATCTCAAATGCTCTGGGTAGAAGGATTCTGATCCTTGAAGGGTTTCTGTATCCTAAACAAAACCCTAGTATGTAATGCCAGAGCTCTTACCAGTTTTTCTTTCAGCAAACACTTGAGTGCCTACTATGTACCATGCATTGTGCTGGGTGCTGGGGACATGTGAAAAGGACAGACATGTTCCCTGTCTCACTGGGCTTACATTATAATGTGAAAACATACATCAGGTAATTAGATGGGCGATAGGTACTATATTAGGTCAGGGTGCCCTGGGATCACACAAAGGCAATAGGCCTTCCTACCCCACTTTATTCCCAGAACACTGGCAATTAGGCTTATATGCTCCAGGAGGAAAACTGAAGGATCCTTCTCAGGAGAAACTGAACTGCCTCCAAGAAAAGGCCCTACAAAGGAAGAACCATTTTGCTTTCCTGATTCCCTTCAGTGAAGCTGACTAGTTGAACAGTCACCCTCCCTCAGGCACAAGGAGCTTCTTATCAACTTGTGCCTCACATTAAAATGTCAAGGCAACAGTACAGGAATGCTAGACATTTGAGAACAGCCTAAAACCCAAACAAAAAACTCCCAAGAAATGAGGTAACAGGGAACAGGAAAAACAAGCTTTAAAAACCTTACTTTTCGGGGACCCTAAAAAGGTGGTGCATCTACCCAACAAAAGTAAGATGCTATTTAAAAAAAAAAAGTACAATTGGAGGAACAAGAAAGAGCACTTGGAAAATAAAAATATGATATTAGGATCCATGTGGCAGAATGATTGGGTCCAGGATTTGCCAAAGCACTTCTGGAACATGAGTAGGGTTGTGATGGTGCTTTTTTTGGAGCACAAACTGGATAATCGAGTTCAGATGTGATGGTTCTCTTTTTGAGAACAGGCTGGATAATAGAGATCAGCCTCAAATATTTCAAAGATGCCATTTAAAAAAACGGTTTTGTTAGAACATGTAAAATAGATCCTTGAGCTAGTAACAATTTCTGTGTGGTAGTGCCAGATTTCCGATGGGCTAGAAAAATTTGGGGAATCATAATAAAAAAACGGCGATCGAAGCTTGAAGATGGAATGCACTTATCTGAGGAAGAAGAGCAGAGAGCCTGGAACCAAGTGCTAAGGAAAACTGGAAGGATTTCACATCAGGTAGAGGAGTTGCCATTGTAAAGATAGTAAGGAAGTCAAGAGAATATTTTTAAAAGGAGGGAGTGCTCAGTGTCAACTGCACAGGGATCGAGTAAATGAAACACTTTTGAAAAGTATGCAGTACATTTTAATCACCCCCAAAAAGAAATTCAGTAGTCATTAGCAGTTCCATTCCCCACCCCAACCTCCCCAGACCCTGGAAACCACTAATCTACTTTTTGTCACTATAGATTTGCCTATTTTGGACATTTCATATAAATAGAATTCTGTAGCATGGTCTTTTGTGACGAGTTTCTTTCATTTAGTATGATATTTTCAAGGTTCATCCATGTTGTAGCATGTTCTAATACATTATTCCTTTTTGTGGCTAAATAATACTCTGTTGTGTGGCTATACCACATTGTGTTCATTCATTAGTGATAGACATTTGAGTTGTGTATACTATATGTATATGTAACTATCTACATCTATATTAAGGTAAACATAAGATGACTTCATACTGAGGTCTCTAATTCTAAGCCATTACCATGGGTCCTTCTAGCCTCCTGCTCTTGCTGTACATTCCCACCCCAACATGGAGACACTAGGCTCCCATCATCTTCCTTAATTATTCAGTTCCAGCATAAATGTATAGCAGTATCAGAATTGTTAACCTGTACCCCAATTGGATATAACTTTATCAATTACAGTACAGTGGTTATGTTACCTTTTATTTTGCCTTTAATTTTACAGATCACTCGCTTTCAAAGTTATTTAGTTCAATTTCTTTTCCCCACATCCCCTGCAGTGAGGTGGTTTCATAGTTTGTAATACAGTTAGATTTTTATGCATTCTGCATTCCATCCTCAGGTTTCCCAGACCTCCTAAGTGATTTTTTTAGTTTGCATGCCTTAAGGTCCACTTTTTATGCTAGAAAGTTCTATGGGTTTCGAGAAATGCATAGTGTCATGTATGTACAATTGCAATATACAGAATAGTTCCACTGCGCTATGAAAAACAAACAAAAAACTCTGAGCTACATCTGTTCAACCTTTCCTCCCCCTCCTCCTGAGCCCCTGACTACCACTGTCTCAATAGTTCTGCCTTTTCCAGAATGTCATATAATAGGAATCACACGTTTTGTAGCATTTTCAAACTTGCTTGTTTCACTTAGCAATAAGTATTTAAGTTTCCTGTACGTCTTTTCATGGCTTGATAGCTCATTTATTTTTAAAACTGAGTAATATACAAAGGTATGGCTGTACCCCAGTTTGTTTATTCACTCAGCTATTGAAGGACATTTAACTGCTTCCAGTTTTTGGTGATAATAAAGCTACAGACCTGTGCTCCATTTTGATTAATGAAATTAATATTACTCTGTTCTCTTGAGCAGTCTTGCTTGATTTTTATCTATTTTGTTACTCTTTTTAAAGAACCAATTTTAAGCTTTATTGATCTTTTTTCATTTTTATTTTCTATTTCACTGTTTTATGCAGGCACACTTGGAGATATTGCGAGTTCGGTTTCATACCGCCGCAGTCAAGCAAGTATTGCAATAAAGCGAGTTGTAATCTTTTTGCTGGTGGAGGGTCTTGCCATCAATTTGTAAAAAACTCAACATCTATGAAGCACAATAAAATAAGGTATGTCTGTACTCTTATGTTTATTATCTTGTGGTTTACTCTGTTGTTTTTTTCTGGCTTCTTGGAAACATTAATTTTCAGACTCTTTTCTTTTTAATAACTTAAGTATTCAGGGCTATGACGATCTTATTTAAGCCCTGCTTTTGCTGCATGCCACAAGATTTGCTATGTAGTATTTTCTTACCACTTGGTTCTCAATATTTTTGTTGAAATTTGTCACTATGAACTTGTAGTGTATCTATCTGCCAAATTGTATAATATTCCCCAGTAATCTGAGTATAGCTACAGAAAAAGTGTAAAATTAAGGCCAATCCAGGCTTGGAGGTTTTCCAGAAAGCACATCCCAACTATTGTTATCTAGTTTCATACCTCACATCCTCATCTCCTTTTCTCCCTGCATCTCATTAGGTAGTCATTCTTTAATTAGAGACTCTGTCTCTCATTACACTGTCTTCATTTCACTATTGCATCCATCACATATATCCATCACTAAATGTCATTGCCCAAATTGATTCGTGATACTGGGGGCCGTGCGAGTTTCATGGGGGACTGGAAGAGATGGAGCTGGGAAGAGGACAAGGCAATTGACAGGTAGTGGGAGCCGGAACAGGCAGAAATGACCAAACATCTCTTTGAAAATGTGGAAGTGCCAATATGAAATTTAATTAATCTGCTCCTCAGAACTATCATGTAATCACGTCTTTTATTACCCCCGAGCACTCAGTAAATATGCTACATCCATAATTATACCGAGGCCTTCTTGTAGAAATTAAGGATAAGTGACTGTTCTCTCCATCCGAGTCACTTGGAGAATGGGGAAAGGAAGCGCTGCAGGAGGCAAGATGACACAGACCAAGAGACCCATGGGAGCAGACATTCAGAGCCAGATGTGACCATAGAAACAGGAGCCCTGTATCTAGGCTAACACCCTGGGCAGGATATGTGTTAGCAAAGTGTTTTTTCCTAAGCTGCAGGGATCCCCTCTTTTAGTGGAACATGAAATAAATGCAATAGGTTGCCATCAGCAGTTTGTTTTAAGTAACATAGGATGGAGTGAATAGAAAGTAACAAAGTGTGTATCACACATATAAGATAATCATTTTTTGTGAAACTTTTTTGCATGTATATGCATGTATGTTTTAGATCATGAGACAAAATGTATTTTTAACTGTGACTCATAGTCAAAATAAAAATTTGAAAGACTCCAGATAAGAGGCTTAAAGCAAACATCTAGGCTCCATGAGGGGATGCAGAAGAGGGAGCACAGGGAGAATATTTCACCAAGAAAAAGATATTTAAGTTAGGTCTTAAAGGGGCTGTAGGAGGAAGTGAAGGGCATTCCAGAGGGAGTTCATGTTCAAAGGCATTTTCAGGGAACAGCAAGAGGTCCATGAGGGTGGAACTTCATGTAGGAGAGGAGGCGAGACAGATGATGCAGGTGGAGAGAAAGGTGAATTGAGACTCCATTGTGAAGGGTCTTATATTGGGTTGTCAGAAAAGTCATGATGCATTTTTGCAACGAAAAACAGAAAAAATACGTCATGATTTTTCCGACAACCTAATACATCAAAAGTGAGCAGGTTGTGGGCCGGCCAAGTGGCGCATTGGTTAACAGTTGGCTTGGGACGCCAGCTCTGAGAAGCAGGGCCCCAGTTCGGATCCCACATGAGGGCCAGTGATGCTGCGCTCTCTACAGCTAAGATGGTGAACAACAGCTCAACCTGGAGCTGGGCTGCTGTGGATCGCCGGCAATGGCGTAGGCTGCAGTGGGGCTGGCAGGCAGCAGGCGTGCGCTTTTGTGAGCTGCCATGAGCCGCCGTGAGCAGCTTTCCAATGGTTGGCGACCGACTGCCTTACCTGGGAAGAGCACAATGATAATACCAACTTGGGCCAGTGAAGCGACGCCCTCCACAACTAGACTGAAGAACAAAAGGACAGCAATTTGTCTGTTCCCTTTCCCTGATTCCCCAATAAAATCTTTAAAAAAAAAAACAAAAAAGTGAGCAGGTTGTACTTTTATTTTGCAGGCTGAGGAAGCTTTTTTTTTTTTTTTTAAGGAAGATAACCAAATAACCTGTTCTGGTTCCCCTTTGAAGCCCACAGAGGATAATGATCACAGTACCATTTATTGAGCATATACAGGGGGTCAGTGTTGAACTTCTTTATATGCATTAGCTCAGTTACTGATTAGCACAATAACTACTAATATGGTAGGCATTATAACTATCCTCATTTGACAGATGAGCAGCCTGAGGCTCAGAGACTCTAACTGAGTTGCTGCAGGTCAGATTTATCAGGTGGAAGGGGTAGGCAGGCTGTCTGACTCCAAAACCAGTGCGCCTAATCATTTCGTAAAGATGGAGCCTCTGGAGGGGCCGACAGATAGGAGTCTCATCACCTGGCTGGAGACCAAAGACAGAGAATATTTGGCTCACTCTGCAGGCTAAGCTTCAAGCGCAGGCAGACTGCTTTTTATACCTCTGGGAGGTGGAGGAAAAGGAGCCATCCCAGCACCTCCTCTCTCTCGCCAATTTCATCAACTCCTCCCCTTCTGTCTCCAACCCTTTTCCCTGCTTCAGCATGACAACCTTCATATGTGTTTGCTTCTTTATAAAACTGGAATAATATTGTTATCTTTTATTAGAGGTATAATGACAATTCCACAAATTCTTTTCTAAAAGACTTGGAGAATAAATTAGTTAATACTATTGAATTGTTCTTTTTTTTTTAACTTGCATTTTAGGGTACATCTTTACAGCTAAATTTCCAAGAGTCAGCTGCCTTCTCTTATGCTTATTTTTCTCATTTACATACGGAGGCTCTAAAGCACTAGGCAATTAAAGTAAAATGGCACATTACTGCCTGCCTCAGTTCCTGTTTCATTAAGCACACCATCTCCTTCGCTAGTCTCAATGGCCAGCCTCAGAAGTAGGCAAATTAGGCAGCTATCTACTTAAAGATCTGATGCTAAAAGGTTTCTACCTAAAAATACTCCCCAACATGTAATCCTAATTCTATACATTCCCCAATGGCCTCCTTGAAAAGACACATCCTTTCCAACTCACGTAAGGTATGAGGTTATCTGAGAGGGGTTATTTATTAGCTAACTACTCTGTCATAGAAGCCACCTGCTTCCAGTATCACTCAGAGAAGGGGCCTGAAAGAATGACACCTGGGATGATTGGTTAAGGGCGTGGGTACAGGAGATGGAAGTGGAGTTAGGAATTGAAGGAAGGGAAGATCCAGAGCTTGAAGCACCAGTAGGGAAGGCAAAACCCTTGGGCAGCCTGATGACTGAGAGACATACACATGTCTAAGAGACAAGGTTTTAAAAAGAGGAGCAGGGGGGCCGGCCGAGTGGCTCAGTTGGTTAAGAGCTCGCTCAAGAGTTTGAGCTCTGAGCAACAGCGGTTTGATTGCCAGCCCGAGCTGAGCAGCC